AGCTCACGTGGATTGTGTTTCTTGGAGATGGTGCAGTATATTCCGTGTCCAGCCAGCTCTGCTGGCAAGTGCAGAAGGTAGAGGAGATCCACCCCCTCTCTGTCCCCTTTGGAAAATATAAAACGGGTGGCAGTAGCGCTGAAGCTGCCATTGTGGATGGCTTTTGCACATGGGCACAATGAGGGTGTTCCTTGGCCCCTCTCCTGCACCTAGCACCAGCAGGAGAGTGAATTTGTGTGGGGGGGTGGAGGGTGAGAAAACCTGGATTTGTGCTGGAAATGGCCCACCTGTTGATCACTTTAGATAAGCTATTACCAGCAGGACAGTGGGGTGGGAGGAGGTATTGTTTCATATTCTCTGTGTGTATATAAAGTCTGCTGCAGTTTCCACGGTAAACATCTGATGAAGTGAGCTGTAGCTCACGAAAGCTCATGCTCAAATAAATTGGTTAGTCTCTAAGGTGCCACAAGTACTCCTTTTCTTTTTGCGAATACAGACTAACACGGCTGTTCCTCTGAAACCTCTCCTTCCATTGCTTACTCTTGTGTGGGTGGGCACAGTCAGATCCATGTGAGAATCACATTGTGTTTGTCAAACAAAAAACTAATTGTGTTTTTCCTGATGACTTCAGTTTAAATATGAAATGTCCAGTTCATTTAAACTTTTTCAGAATTTGGGGATTTAACTGTGTGACTCTATTGATTTTAATGGGCATTTCAAGGTTTAAAATCATGGACATTTTCATAAATATAGGGGTGAATAACACTAACAGATTTTTATTCTTTGAGTAGTTTGTAGATCTCTAGCACAAACCAATAGATATTTCCAGTGAATATAGAAAACCTTTATTTGAAGTATTTTACCTTATTCTTTGTAAATGTGGCTTTGCATATTGCATGCTATTTAGTTTCTATCTGAACAATAAATCATCAGGTTCATGTTCTACCCTTAGCTATCCTTGCACAATTACAAACTGGTTACACTTTTCAATTGCAATCTGGCTGAATGAAGTGAGAATTTGACCCTTGAGCTTTACCATTCATGTAACAGATGAACACGTTATATAAGGCTATGTTTACAAACAATATCATAATCCTATATCCAGATCTTTTCCATCCCTGATTTCTGAGATTAGTTGATAAGTGGCTTGAGCATTGTTATAACATGCTGTCAGCAATTTAGGCATATAATTTGGCCTACAGTGATGATGGCTAAAATGTGCAGAACGTTCTTGCAGGGTTAGACCCTACAGGAAACCATGCAGTGTGCACTGGTGAACAGAGCGTAGGATTGGGAGCCTGCTTGTAGGACCAAATCTTGATGTCAGCCTAGGTGAGGAGTATGTCTTTTATCCCTCAGGAAGGGGAGGACCACAGGCATTCCATAGGGGTGGAGCTAAGAGTCTGAGGTATGCAACCTTTTAATGGGAGAAAGCAGGGCCAGGAGCTCTGCTGCTTGCTCTCTGCTCTTGCAGCCCAGTCTCCCCAGCGTGCTGCCTCCCACACCTCTGGACTAGATGCAGTTTAGGAAACCAGAACTGCAGTTTAACAAGTGGAAGCTGCTGTCAGTCTGCATTCCCACCTCACTCCAGAGAAGATGCGGGGCGGAGAGGACAAGTTTGTAGAGTGTGTGTGTGCATCATACTGGGAGCAGCTGGTATGGGAGTGTGTGGAGAAGGTTAGGGGAGCTGGAGTGTAGAGCGGGCAACTGTTTGGGCCTCTTTTCTTATATTCATTTCTGCATTATGGCTGCCGGAGTGGGAAAATGTATCCCTCACCCTGCCACAGATTAGTCTGTGTGGCTGCAGAGCAGAGGAAACCTGCTGAATTTTCTGTGTGGCAGCAACTGCCAAAGTACATTTCAAAGCTGCATTGGGCCCTTAGGACTTCAACACCTCTTGTACCAAGTGGGAGGAGACTGGTTTTTGCAAGTGTGATTGTCTCATTTGTATGGAGCTTCTGTAGGATTTGCAAGAGCACATTTGAAGAGCTTCTCTAGTTTTCTGAGAGAGTAAATTTAACTCCTGCTGAGAGGAGATGTAATTACCTGATGTAGAATAAAAATCTCTTTAGAAGGTTGAACTGTTTTTCCCACTTTATTTTACAAGTACATGCATTTCTACAGATTGAAGTTCAGAGGCACAGACAAATTCTTGTTGTTTGCTGTTTTTTTTTTCTTAAAAAGCTCTTCTGCAAATTGTTTGGGCTGCTCTTACATTCTGTGGGCCCCAAAGAGCTGGTACGGGGAGAGGGTTATATTACAGTTTGGCTCTTTTTTATTTATTTTATTATTTATTTAAAGGCAGGGAGCTGCCTACCTCTCCAAACCCACTGGCAGAAGTGGAAGATAAGGCCAGCTCCAGAGTTGCTGAATTTGTATAGGGCCAACAAAATATGGGGCCGCAAGGCTGCTCTTGGTTCTGGAATGAAACACATCTAATTAAAAAGCGTTTCTACCACTGCTTTCCAAGGCAGCTGGAAATTGTTCCAAAAAGCAGGGAAATACTGGTCTCAAATTTTCCTAAGGGTCAAGTTTGTATGATTCAGATCCTGTCTGCCTTTGGTTATCCTGTGATCCTGCATGACACTGAGACAACAGGGAATCTTGTGTATCAGAATTGGGAACACTGAATATGGGCTCTGCTAAACTGACAGGCGAAGGAGGACAGGTGGGAACCTTAAAATATATTTGCTTAATAATCATAGAATATCAGGGTTGGAAGGGACCTCAGGAGGTCATCTAGTCCAACCCCCTGCTCAAAGCAGGACCAATCCCCAACTAAATCATCCCAGCCAGGGCTTTGTCAAGCCTGACCTTAAAAACTTCTAAGGAAGGAGATTCCACCACCTCCCTAGGTAACGCGTTCCAGTGTTTCACCACCCTCCTAGTGAAAAAGTTTTTCCTAGTATCCAACCGAAACCTCCCCACTGCAACTTTGGACCATTACTCCTCGTTCTGTCATCTGCTACCACTGAGAACCATCTAGATCCATCCTCTTTGGAACCCCCTTTCAGGTAGTTGAAAGCAGCTAACAAATCTCCCCTCATTCTTCCCTTCCTCAGACTAAACAATCCCAGTTCCCTCAGCCTCTCCTCATAAGTCATGTGTTCCAGTCCCCTAATCATTTTTGTTGCCCTCCTCTGGACGTTTTCCAATTTTTCCACATCCTTCGTGTAGTGTGGGGCCCAAAACTGGACACAGTACTCCAGATGAGGCCTCACCAATGTCGAATAGAGGGGAACGATCACGTCCCTCGATCTGCTGGCAATGCCTCTACTTATACATCCCAAAATGCCATTGGCCATCTTGGCAACAAGGGCACACTATTAACTCATATCCAGCTTCTCATCCACTGTAACCCCTAGGTCCTTTTCTGCAGAACTGCTGCCGAGCCATTCGGTCCCTAGTCTCTAGCGGTGCATGAGATTCTTCCATTCTAAGTGCAGGACTCTCCACTTGTGCTTGTTGAACCTCATCAGATTTCTTTTGGTCCAATCCTCCAATTTGTCTAGGTCCCTCTGTATCCTATCCCTACCCTCCAGTGTATCTACCTCTCCCCCCAGTTTAGTGTCACCTGCAAACTTGCTGAGGGTGCAATCCACGCCATCCTCCAGATCATTAATGAAGATATTGAACAAAACCGGTCCGAGGACTGACCCTTGGGGCACTCCACTTGATACCGGCTGCCAACTAGACATGGAACCATTGATCACTACCCGTTGAGCCCGACTATCTAGCCAGCTTTCTATCCACCTTATAGTCCATTCATCCAGTCCATACTTCTTTAACTTGCTGGCAAGAATACTGTGGGAGACAGTGTCAAAAGCTTTGCTAAAGTCAAGGAACAACACGTCCACTGCTTTCCCCTCATGCACAGAGCCAGTTATCTTGTCATAGAAGCAATTAGATTAGTCAGGCATGACTTGCCCTTGGTGAATCCATGCTGACTGTTCCTGATCACTTTCCTTTCCTCTAAGTGCTTCAGAATTGATTCCTTGAGGACCTGCTCCATGATTTTTCCAGGGACTGAGGTGAGGCTGACTGGCCTGTAGTTCCCAGGATCATCCTCCTTCCCTTTTTTAAAGATGGGCACTACATTAGCCTTTTTCCAGTCTTCTGGGACCTCGTCTGGTATTTGATAAATGCCAGTCACTTTCTGGGAAGATAAAATGCTCTTATGACTTATTTGGGCAATACCAAGAAGCACTTGTCTGTAGTTGAGAGCACTTCATAATAAGAGACTGTGTGGGAAGCCCTTATTACATATATGGCACAAAAATGCCTGAAATGCCTCATAATTTGCCCTTTAAGTGTCTGATTCTGCAGGTGGTGAGTACCCTTCACTCCTATTGAGTTCAGAGAGTTGAAGGTTCACAACATGTCAGAGAACTGGGCCTTAATAGATGTTTACTTATTTTGTTAAAATATTTTTTTTTCTGTGAGAGGTTCTACTACCATGTCTCAGATAGATTTGGAAAAGATAATTCCCTTCCCTGCTGATGGAAATTGAGCATACGATATTGTCCCAAGAAAAAGCTGGTTTGTTGCGTCTTGATGTAATAACGTGTTATTGAATAGCTCTTAAAGTTTATTTTAAAATGATGAGATTATTGACAGGTGATATTCTGTGGAAACTCATAATAAAGCGAGGGCCTTCTTTGTCTACCTAGTTGTGTTTCTGTTGCCTTACAGGCAACAGTAGCTCGTGCCAGGTCGTACCATTAATTGCTGTTTAAATAGTGAAATAAAGTATAAGAAAAAGAGCCATGAAATATTGATGTATTTGCAATATAAGAACAGCTTAGTATTCCTCCTGGGATAGTACCTATCCATCACTGCTGGAAACGTGGCAGGTGTAAGATGAAAATGTGTAGAACTGGAAAAACAAATAGTATATTAAGGGATAAATCCGTAGTCACCTATTCAGACATTGTGCTGCTGATGATTTGCTGATAATGGTTGTTTATTATTATTTTGTTGTTTTTATTGTTGTTCTGTAGCCTCAGACCATACGGCAGACTCTCCAAAGGACACTGCGGTATTATGAGCATCAAGTTATTGGGTAAGTAAAAGAGACTACAGTAGTTATTAGAAGGGTGAATAAAAGATAAGTGATAGCTGTTGAATTAATATCTTTCTGCCTTCTAAGTCATTGGCTTGGGTAACCAACTTTTCTGACTTTGTTCACAAATACTTAGGCATGTTCTTCAGTAATGATAAATATTATACTTTTTTTGTGTGTGCTATTCTTCATCTCTCCTGCTGCAGTGAAATAACTACGCCCAATCCTGCTTTCATTCAAGTCAATGGGAGCGGGACTGAGTCCACAGAGGAGCAGTTGTACAATTTATATCCGTGCTGGGGAGCCTTTTTGTTAAAGTATGAGATTTTTCAGAATGTGCTCTTGACACAGTCAGCAAAAATGGCATAACAGATTAATTATTATTAATGTTTGTTTCAGTCAGACCATGCCCCATTGTGCTGGGTGCTGGACAGGCATATTGTAAAAAGCTTACGGTCTAAGGCCCAGATCCTGCAAGCAGTTACATATGTGAGTAGCTTTAAGTACATGAATAGTCATGTGGAGTTACTCACTTGCATAGGCATTTGCCAGATAGGGGCCTCAAAGACAAGTTCTGACAGCTGGCTGAAACAAACGAACAGGTGAGGGGGAGGGAGGACAGGGTAACTATGATAGGAGAATGTTAACCATTCAAGCAATTATTGCTACCCTTTTGTTTTCTGTCTATCCCCTACCATCCCAAGCGTTGTTGTTGTCACAGATACCATTCCTAATAGAGCAGGAATACAGTGCCTGCAAGACTGTATCAGTTAAACAACTCTGCCAAACGTAGAATAGTGACCTTGACCGTATTTAATTACGCAGCTGTAATGGCACCTCTTTCTTTTATTACTCCGGTTGGGTCAAAGGTATATTTAAAATCCATGCCACAGTTCTGAAACTTTGTACGCTGGAGGGAATTGCTCTTGTACGTTTTGTCAAAATTCACACGACTCTCTGTCCTGCTACGTAGCATTTGTAATGCTAGCACATCTAGCGTGTGCCCCCAGGATAGAGAGGGTGCCATTGCTGTGGGGATCAAGTGTATCTCTTTGCTGGTAGTTATGACATCTATTATGGAGCAGATATGGGTAGCGGGGGGGAAGCCTTCTGGCAAAATTATTTTTTTTTGTCACTTGAAGGGATTGCTTTGAATTCTCTCAGTAGTAGATCTTGGGGGAGTGGGTGGGGGGGGAGGGGTAACTACAGTGCTTTAAGAACAGCATATTTATTATAACCATGTAGCTTTTAATTCATGGCCACTAGTGACTCAGAACTATTTGTTTTTAATGGAGATGAAAATAAGGCAGCTCTTCTCACGCTCTAAAGGCCTGTCACTCCTGGTGCTACGCCTGCTACTTAAGCTATGTTTTGCTTCACTTTCACAACTCTCTATATCTTCTTGCTAATCCAATATCTGCTCTCTTCTAAGTGTACAATATAGGGCCTGTTCCTGCAGTTCTTACTGTTACTAGTGGGAGTTTTGCATGTATAAGCCTGCTGGATGTCCCGGATACACTTTAGTGTAAAACACAATACTCACATCAGCATAAAGAGCCAAACTTGCTCTCTGACAGAGTGAATTCCTGGGGCCTGATTCTCTGCTGCTCTGCACTTGGTATAGTCTGTGTATAATAGGTTCTAACAAAATTAGAATAGTAGAACTTTGCACATGAGTGTGAATGACTACAAGATGCAAGCGATGGAGAATCTGGGCTATGGACTAGAGGGAGGGAGAGAGAGAGTCTAGTAGCTTGAACTCAGGGCTGGGAGCCAGGAACTCCTTCATTCCAGTCCTGCCTCTGGCACTGGCTCCCTCTGGTTTTGATCAAACAGTTCTATGATCTTATCTTCCAAGGTGTCAAGTAGCTCCCTTTGACTTCATTGGCAGTTGAAGGAGCTCAGAACTTCCCAGGAGGTGCTCAACATCCTAGAGCAGTGGTTCTCAACTTGGGGGTACACAGAGATCTTTAAAGGGACAGATCAACTCATCTAGATATTTGCCTAGTTTACAACAGGCTATATAAAAAGCACTAGCAAAGTTTGTACAAACTACCATTTCATACAGACAATGACTTGTTTATATTGTCCTAGAGGATGAGAGCCTTTGGGCCTGCTGGGAGGTAGGGAGCACTCTCTTCACCCAAGAGGGCTCAGTATTTAGTAAGATCAGACTCCGAATCCATGCCCAAATTTTGTTAGTGAAATGGAAGATAAACTTATTTAGCTATCCTTCAGTTTTCTTAAGTGGCTTGATTAATATTTGTGGTTTGCAGTGTTGTAGCCGTTTTGGTCCCAGGATATTAGAGAAACAAATTTGGACCAACTTCTGTTGGTGAAAGAGACAAGCTTTCAAGCTACACAGAGTTGTTCTTCAGGTTTGGGGACGGTAGTAAAGACTGGTCTACACCAGGAACTTAGGTTGGAATAACTACATGAGTCAGGGGTGTGAAAATCCACACCCCTGAGTGATGCAGTTCATAGAATCACAGAATATCAGGGTTGGAAGGGACCTCAGGAGGTCATCTAGGCCAACCCCCTGCTCAAAGCAGGACCAATCCCCAATTTTTGCCCCACACCCTAAATGGCCCCCTCAAGGATTGAGCTCACAACCCTGGGTTTAGCAGGCCAATGCTCAAACCACTGAGCTATCCCTCCCACCCAACCAGTTTAACCCCCAGTGTAGACAGTGCTAGGTCGACAGGAGAATCCTTCCATCGACCTATCCACCACCTCTCGGGGAGGTGGATTACTATGCCGTTGGAACAACCCCTCCTATCCGGGTTGGTAGTGTCTTCACTGAAGTGTTACAGCATGCAGCATTTTGAGTGTCACAGCTAAATAGGAGGTGGAATAGATTGTTTAGCATAAGGAGTTATCACATATTTTAAGGGACCATTCAAGGTGAAGTGGCCCTTTAACACCTCTGCAGCTATAGGACAAAAAAAGGGAGGTTAGTGGATTGCAGAATGTTGTAATAAGCCATAAATAGAGTGTCTTTATTAAGACCAGGATTTTTATGCCCCAATAACAATTATGTGGATGAACTCAGACAATCACTACACTCTCGAATGAACTCACACAGAATAATGATAAAAGACAAAAATACCATATCACCCATGAGCGAACACTTTTCACAAAATGATCACTCTGTCCTTATCCTCAAAGGAAACCTGCACAACACCTTCAAAAGATGAACCTGGGAGCTTAAATTCATAATTTTGCTAGACACTAAAAATTATGGTGTTAAGAAAGACACTGGATTTATGGCTTATTACAACAATCTTTATGTTTAATGTACAATTACTAAGCACCCCAATGGGGATGACATGTAAAGGAAGAGAGATTTGCCCACTACTTAGCCCTTTGGTGTCCGTCCCCCCATGCCTTTATTCTCATTACAGAAAGTGCTCACTATTATTATTACTTTTCAGGTGTTTGCCCCAGTTCCCAACACTGGCTGCTATTGCTGATATTAATAAAGTGATGTGTGTGTGTGTGTATTTTTGCCAGATATTACAGGCTTGATTCTGCTCCATTAAAATAAACGTGAGTTTTTTCATTGGTCTGAATGGGAAAAGGATTAAGCCCTACGTTATAGATAGTTAAAGACAAAATAAGGATGTGCTTTCGAAAGCACATTAATAATCAACTGTTAGTCTCCCGACACATTTATTACATAAGTTAAGCAGATGTATAGAAACTGTGTATTTTTTCCCCTAGTTACAGGGATGCAGAAAAGAACTTTCACAATATATCGAACAGATGCTCCTATACAGACTGCTCTGGCAACGATGAAGCTGAAGATGTCTCAGGAATTCTCCAGTGTACAGCTAATATACTCGGTACTTATTTTTTGTAATATGACTCATTTGCTTTGTTTGGAGGGTTGGGTTTTTGTTTGTTTGTTTTTGTTTTTGAGAGGCCCATCATTAATCATGAATGAAGGTCTTTCCTGTTCCATCCAGGGCAGCTTAGACTGTAGTCAGCATCATTTCATTGGGCTGTTGGTGTCAGGTTGTCTCTTTTTCCAGGCATATTTTACTTGTCTGAAATAATCCATCTTGCTTTTTTCACTGGGCATTCACTGTGCCTTCCACTTTGATGTCACTGAGTATTGGAATTTCAAAGGCTTGGGGCCCAAATTCATTTGGGATTGCTGAGGTATAATTTAAAAAAAAAATGAATTTGCCCTCAGAGGTACATCAGGAGGTGTTTAAGTATTTGCTACAAAACAGCAGATGCATGAGGATTCTGTTAGCCATACTGATTCGGGGTCTGGAGAAACCATGTTTTTAGCAGAACGTAGCCTGTTGAATCATGAGTCTCTTAGGGCTTGGCTTCACTTGCGAGTTACAGCGCAATGAAGGAGCCCTGCGCACACTAGCTCACTACCCGTCCACACTGGCAAGGCACGTAGAGCGCTCTGACTCCACGGCTACAGCGCTGCTGGTACTCCACCTCGGCGAGTGGAATAACGTTTGCTGCGCTCCTGCTGGAGCTCCGCAGTGCCAGTGTGGACGAGGTGTTGCTTTACTGCGCTCTGATCAGCCTCCGGAAACGTCCCATAATCCCCTTAAGCAGTGATGAGCTGTCAGAAGCTGAAGAACCGGTTCCTTCAGTCGCTCCGGGCGGCACTTCAGCGGCACTGAAGGACCCGTCGTGGAAGTGCCGCCGAAGGCTCGGAGCGAGTGAAGGACCCGTCGTGGAAGTGCCGCCGAAGGCTCGGAGCGAGTGAAGGACCCGTCGTTGAAGTGCCGCCGAAGGCTCGGAGTGCTGCCGGGTGAGTAAAAATTCAGAGGCGAGCCTCCCCAGCCGAGAGCTCAGGCGGGACAGACAGGACAGTCCCGCGGGCTGCATGTGACCCGCGGTCTGGAGTTTGCCCACCCCTTTAACAAACGGTTCTAAACCAGTTTCAAAATTTAACAACCGTTTTGTGCGAACCGGCTCCAGCTCACCACTGCCCTTAAGTCAAGTCTTGTCATTGTTTTGGAATTGCTGCAGGAATGCAGAAATGCCCTTTGAAAGCTCCATTTCTGACAGCCAGCTGCTTATCTGCTCCGAAACAAAGCAACCATTACTGTGGAATGCTGTGTGAGAGAGAGAGAGGCGGGAGGGTCTGCTGCTGTCTGAACTTACAAGACAGCATGCTGACATGCTCTCAGCCCCCAAAAAACCCATTCTCTCTCCCCCCACATCCACACAACACACGTCCTGTCACACTCCCCCCACCCCCATTTGAAAAGCACGTTGCAGTCACTTGCATGCTGGGATAGCTGCCCATAATGTACCACACCCGATGCCGCTGCAAGTACAAATGTGGCCATGCCAGTGTGCTTGTAGCTATCAGTGTGGACAGACTGCAGCGCTTTCCTTACTGCGCTCTACGAAGGCTGTTTTAACTCAAAGTGCTCTACATCTGCAAGTGTAGCCATGCCCTTAATTTATATTGTCCTCTTCATGCTGAAGGATTCCAAATATGACAAACTTGTATAAACGTGAAGAAGATATTATCCACCACTGAAATGCAGCCACCTCTGGGTTGACATATGCAACAACTTAAGAGAACACAGCAGCACTGCACAACAGGACAGGAAATGAAGAGCGTTACCATACCAAACTGAAACTGCAAGGAGAACCTAGCTTGAGCTGGAATTTGGCCTAGACTAATCTGTTTTCTGCATGTTGCTAAAGTCAGATGTGAACCCTTCATTTAGTAACATTGGTGAGCTGTATACAGAATTTTAAAGTGAAATTTATGTAATAAGTTAGTGCAGTTTCAGATTGTGGGTTCAAATAGAGGCAACTGGCCCTACATACTCACACATTCTTCTACTACGTCTTTAGGGTACATCTAGACTGCAGTCATGGGGTGTGATTGCAGCTTGTGTTGATGTGTCCAAGTTAGGTTTAGTCTCACAAGGCCAGCCCTCTGAGTGATTACTTTGAGTTCTGGGCTGGCTTGTACAGCCTATGCTGAGGCTTGCGGTGCCATGGTCTCCCTGTTCTGGGACCTGAGCTAGCTAGATTAAAGATAGCTTGGTTATGCTGGCTCCTACCCATGCATAGACATAGCCTCTGTTCCTGCTCTTCTCTGGAGCATCAGTAAGGTTTTATCAATTCTCAGTCTGTGAAAGCTGATATAAATCCACACGGAAAGAAAAAAAAAGCAGAGAACTTTTTTCTAAGAACTTTAATTTAAAATGGGGCATTTAACCCTTTTTCTTCAATAAAACTTTTCATTTTTATTGTTTTGGAGAAACCTTTACAGATCACCTTTACAGGCCACCGGCTAATTCGCTAATTTTAATAGCGCTTTGAAGATATAAAGTGCTAATTATTATTTATCATTGCTACAAGTAATACTTACTACTGATTTTTTAGTCATGGTAGTATCACAGCTGACATTATAAACCCTTGTGTTTATATATACAGGATATAGAAATCAACGATAAATTTGCTCTGAAATTTGTCTTACAGTGAATTTGCATATGAGTTATTTAACCACCTTAAAATTGCACTGTTACTGATCTATGCATAGAAAATACTATCAGTGCTAAGTATTGTTCATTATTATTTTTTCTTTAAAGCATCTTACTAGCGTTAGATGATTTCTGAATTTTCAGTACTGGACTTATGGTACCTGGGGCTATATTGTCTATGAAGTCTTGTAATCTAAGCACTCTTGGGCCTTGCTAGTACTGTTTGAGAGTCCTCCAAGGAAATCCCAAGGTGCTGCAGGAGATGGGGGTAAGGGGCATAACAGGTGGCATTCTTAGCACTTAATAGTTTCCCTTTCGCTTGGTAATGAACAAAAGCCTGAACAGGGTCCATTTTCAGGAGATTATGTGGCTGGAGATTTCTCATCCCAAGGACAGCATAAAATTGAAGTCCTGACCTTGTGTGATAATTAAAGATCTCATTACCCTCTTTTCAAGAGAACTGGTATCAACTCTAGTATTCTAGCTGCATTCCAATCTGGGTTATTACATTCTGCTTAACTAAAATCCCTCTTGCAGTTGGAGTAACCATTTGTCTTCCTCTTCTGTCTCAAACTGTTGTACAGGATTGGTGTGCACTGTAAAATAGCGGATATGTTCCATCTAAGAGATGGCTGTATTTTACTGATGGTCGACGTGCTTCCTCTTCATTCGGACCCTTACCAGGCAAGGTGCTGAGTGCCTGCTGAGAGGTTCTGAGTGCCCTTAATTCCTGCTGAAGTTAATGAGAAGAGAGCAGGCACTCAGCACCTTGTAGAACTGGGCCAAAAGTGCTCCGGGATTTTTCAGAATTAATGACATCACAAAAATATACAATGCAGTATTATGTAAAGTGATTTTTTTCGCTTTTATTGTGAAATAGTTGAGTCCTTACCCTTTCAAAATTATCCATTGTACACATCTTCTTGACTCATGCAGAGGAATCTCTCTTTATAATATTATAAACACATACATAATAATATTGTGAGAGGCCAGACTAAAAACTCTATACTTATTTTCACTATGAAACTACAGCTCTCATGGTCTATCAAGTCTGTGTGCGTTTAAAATTGGTTATGAATACTTGTTTGGGTGTTCTTAAAATAATGTCTGAGGCCTTGATCATGAAACACAATCTAATAGTGTGGGCCCAGGAGCTGCAGCGGATGCAGGGATCTGTACTGAGCAGATCATGGGGCCTAAATATCTGTTTTCTTCAGGGAACTATGCTGGTCTGAGTGAAAGGTACATTTAAAAAACCCAATTATTAAATAAGGTGGGAGGAAGTTACTATTAGGAAATCTTCATTTTTTTTTAAATTTGAAGTTGAGTTTAGGACAAGAAATTTTAAATTTAAGGTAAATTCTAAAGGTAATTATTAATAAACACTTACTTCCTTCTCCTCATCCAATGGCATGAATTTAGGAAGGAATATCAGCATTTAAGACTTACTTTGTGTTACAACAGCTAGACTGTTAATGAAGGCTGCTTAATTAGTTCTCAGTTCTATATGTGTCAGTTGTTTTCCTGGATGAATAAGGAATAATGAGAGACTGCTTTATACAAATGGGAAATAAGCACTGAGGTGTGTAATCAGTACAATTGATCTTATTATGACATTGTTGAGACAGAAGACTTGAGTGGTGTGATGGTATTTAAACAAATGTTAATTCAAATTCTGCTCTCATTTTATTTAATTTATAATAAAGATTACCCATCTGGCACTCTGTTATACTTCATGCAACCTAGGGGTTGTGCCTGTTTATGCTAGAGGTCAATATCTGCTAGCGTGGGTTGCATGGACAATTATATCTAGGTTATCGTTTTGACTTCAGTCCTTACATCCAGATTTGATACAGAAGACCCTGGAACTTTGGCTTCCATTTGTAGTAATGGAACAAGGCCCTTTCTTAAAGGTACCTATTCTATCTTACTTGTGAATACTTCAGTATGATTCACCGCTCCTGACCCACTGACTCTCAAATTCTCATTCTGTGTTCCTTGACAAAACACAGCGAACACTGAGATCGTCAGTAGACCTGGGAGATAGTGGACAAATGCCTCACTTTGTTGTCTTGGTACTTACACTATTCACAGAACAGTGATGTTTGATAAGATATGCGTTCAGCTTTGTGTGTGTAATTTATACTGTATGAATACTGGAATTTTTCCCTTAGTAAGCTGTCACTAACAGTGTAAAGCAGTCAATCTGTAATAAAAGGACCCGATTCTCCTCTCGCCCTCACTGATTTTACACTGAGGCAACTCCATTGACATCAGTTGTTTTACTCCTGCATCACACCAGAGTCATAAAGGCATCACGCTGCCTGGTATGGGACATGGCTAAGAGATAATCTCAGGTCAGG